CCCTGGTTTAGGCCTCATCCTCAGCAAGTAAGAAAACTGTAATAGTCCCGGGCATGACATCCTAATCTGACAATGTCCACAGAGACACATACTGTCTCTTGTGGATCTCTCTTAGGAGGAAGAACATTTTCTTTTTCCAGGAGCCTTCAGGAAACTTTCTCTGACATGTCATTGGCTATAGTTGGCCCATATGCTCATGACAAATGATACAGAATTATCCTTTGGGCTTGGATAGATCATCTTTTAGAGAAAGGTCTTTGGGGGACTATTACAAGTCTCATTTCCGAAATGGGATTCTTTTCATCTCTGTATCATATTAGCTTTGACGACCAAAACAATTCTACCAAGAAAAGGGATGGGATCTTAGTAGTCAAAAAGTATTGGTGGAGGGAATTTCCCGCATAGTCATATGGGAAACTATAAAAGAAAGAAAGAAAGGAGAATTGGAGAGAGATAGAAACACTAGTGGTTGCAGACTAGGAAAAGTGAAGTGTAAAATGAAACACTGATCATGAAATCCAGTGAGATAGTCCTTGTCAGAATTCATTGAGAACAATTGGTGTGCATTTTTCCTGCTGTTCAGATTAAAGAAGTTAGAAGTCAGACAATGATTTTGAATCAAAATGAGTTTAAGAGTATGTATATCTGCCTGGAAAAATAGGAAAGCCAAACAAATAATGTGTATTACACATATATTCCTAAACACAATCAGTGATGCTCTCATTATGTGATTAAATGACCCACTTTAAGACAATTCCTTCTCCATACTCGGTGTAGCTGCTACAAAGGAACATCTTCCTCCAGCCATCATTTGATAGATTTTTATTCTCTTAGGTTGCTTCTTTTTTTTTTCAAAAAAAATTTTTTTAACGTTTATTTATTTTTGAGACAGAGAGAGACAGAGCATGAACGGGGGAGGGGCAGAGAGAGAGGGAGACACAGAATCGGAAACAGGCTCCAGGCTCTGAGCCATCAGCCCAGAGCCCGACGCAGGGCTTGAACTCACGGACCGCGAGATCAGGACCTGAGCTGAAGTTGGACGCTCAACCGACTGCACCACCCAGGCACCCCTCTCTTAGGTTGCTTCTTGAACCACAACATTGCTGACAACAGCCACCTTGGTTCATAAAGGGTTCAAATGAGGTACAGGGTATTGGAGTTAGTGCATTATACCGATAAGAGTGTTACCTAATCTACCTAACTTTAGTTTCTCATCTGGAACAAGGTGGTAGGGTATTAATTGCTAATACCTTATAGGATTTTGTAAGAATTACATGAAATGATGCACACAAAGAGGTGGGAGCAGAGTCTGGGGCATAATTGGCATCAAATCAAAGTTACTTTTTACTCTTGGTTCTACAAAGCCTCATAGCTGGGATGTAGTGGTAAGGTGAGAAATTGTAAATCGAGAATAATGATACTGTAGTAATTATCAAATTGTATCAAACAATTTGATATAGTTGGTATCTCCCAACTGTCAGGGCACATTTTTGTTTGTTAGAGATTCCTTTATTAAGGAAAGTGAGACTCCCCAAATTCAGTAATAAGCAAATACATTAGATTTTATGTGGCAAAGACAAGACTCAAACCAGATCTCCTGACCTTGAGTGTGATGTTCTTTCTACTACCTCTGTTGGAAAAGGGCTTTAACAGATTCTGAATGATTCATTGCTTACTGGTCAAAAAGGTAGGCTTGAGATCATTCAATCACTGAGCTGAGAAAAACATCATAAGAATTACATCTATCCAGCAAGATCTGTTCCCAAACCAGCTGGGGGTGAAGATCTTATATTTGTCATGACAGAATATCCACAACCAGCCTATTCCACTACGTGTTTATCTCTAAAATGAAGGTTACCTTTTTTTTTTTTTTAATAGTCATCCAGTAGGTGAATTGTAATACCTCCAAATATTTGCCTAATTGGCCATGGCATCTGGAATTTCACCATTAGAATAAAATTTCATCATTAAGATTTAGGTTTAAGAAAGCCCTTGTTATAACGCCCTTGGAAGGGACTAGAAATATTAACATATTCATACCCGTAGTTAACTGCTACTGATTCTTAGATTGAGTAGTTGTCTGCTCTAATGGCCCCCTTGGAGAGTACAAGCAGATCCCGGAGGAGAGCAGTATTTGAATGCAAAGAGTAAAATAATTCCAAAGCTGGGGAAGTGGAGAGGGCGGAAGAGGGTGTTACCTCCAGGAAGTGTAGGCAGAAAGGGAGTGCGGGCGGAGGAGAAAGCAGTGAGAAGGATCACAGAGGGCGGGATACCAGAGGCCAGACTACTTAGAATTATGTAATCTTAGGGCAAGGCCTAAACATGTCTTAGGATTCTTTTCTGCTTTAAATGTAGTGATTTCCCCCTGGGTTTAGTATTCAGCAATGAAAGAAAACAATTAAAAGCCTATGTTAGGCCATGTTAATATTTCTTAATCACCAAACAGATATAACTCCTTAAAATTCGAGTCCTTTATAATGTCACATAGCATATTGTTGGTACTTGATAAATATTTGTGGAATGAGTGAATCTGCTGTGATTCTGGTTGTGTTTTTGTTTTACTTTGCAAGTGACTCAATATTGGGTGCATGAAAAACTACAATACCTGGTGTAGCTCTCCAAAAACAATAGCAAAGTCCATAACAATGCTGTCCAGTAGAATTCTCTGTCATGACGAAAATATTCTTTAATTGACCCCGAACAACAGGTAGCCACTAGTCACAAGCTGATATTGTGTACTTGAATCGTAGCCAGTGAGACCAAAATAACTGAATTGTACATAAATTTAAACAGCCACTTGTGGCTAGTGTCTGCTTATGGTATTGGACCATGCAGGTCTGGAGGTTGTTAAAAGTTTTCTCTCCTCTTACTTTGTTAATTTTTTTTTCAGTTTTTCTTTCTTTCTTTTCCTTTTTCTTTTCTTTCTTTTTTTTTTTTTTAGTAATCTCTATACCCAACATAGGGCTCAAACTCACAACCCTGAGATCAAGAGTCACGTGCTCTATGGACTGAGCCAGCCAGGTGCCCCGGTCTTGCACTGTGTTTTTAAAAACAGCTATTTTGATTAATACCATCGATTATAGATAAGTTTCTTTTGTTTATGATTTTTTTTTTTTTTTACATGGGAAAACTTTGATTTACAGGATAACTCTAAAGACTTGTAGAGCACACTGAATTGACTTGCACAGCAGCGTCTGGGAAAAATTGATGTGCCTCATTTATGAGAACTTGTAATATGTGGTCAATTTCTAATTTCAGCTATTGACATAAAAGGAGTGGGCCTGTGTACTTGAAATAGTGAAGCATGAGAAGTCTGTCCTCTGCAGGGACAGGCTGGCCTCCCAAGCCAGTCTTTCTTTTGATCGTCTCCTCCCTCCTCAGGAATCTGGCACCTTCCACTGCCCTCTGGTCTGCTGAGGCCTCTGAGGTCCTTTCCCAAAATTCTCTGTCTCCTAGCTTCTCCCTGCCCTCTCCTCCCTTCTAAATCAAAATGTATCTCGAATCATTTGTGATAACCTCCCTTTATCTCTTCCTAATTTTAGGGATGTGAAAGCTGCCACGCTGCGAAAATAGAGAGGGTAAGAAAACTGCTATTGACTTACTACTGTGTGCTTGCTCGACACTTTAGATGATGCTCAGTGGAAGTGTGGCCCACGTGAATGAATGTTATCTCTCTGGCAAAGAAATGGCATTCAATAAATATTTTTTGAATGAATAAATACACGAATACACTTGTCAGAGCGAAACAGATATTATCCCCTTACCACAGATGAGAAAACTGAAATTTAGAGAAGTTACAGGATTTCCTCAAAGCTAAGCATATACAATGCTCCAACATTTAATCTTCCTTCTGTTCAACTCCTTGCCTCGTTTCCAGGGTCCTCAGGGTTTTTGCTCTTTACCTTTCAAAGAGACAGACCAGCTAAACAGACAGGCAGATTTACATCAATGGCTGCAAATGTACTGATAGATCCTGCTCCCAGCGTCCTCGCCCTTTTCAGGGTCCTCTTTATTTTAATGACAACCTTCTGTGGACAGTGTCAACTCCCAGAAATGGCACCCTGGGAATTTCAGGCTGTTCAGGATAGATTTTATTTTGGTACATCAGAGGCATTAGGGAAAAAAAAAAAAAACAAAAACACAAAAACAAAAAAAAAACAAAAAAAAAAACACCCAACCACAACCAACACACGTTCCACAGGAGATATTTTCCAGGAGTCTGGACGCTTACATAAAAACGACACATGCATTTATAAATTAAATTTCAATAGTGTTTGCGCTTATCTTGCTCTACATTACGAGTAGACGACTGATTTGTGTATTGGCCCCTATCCCTGAGGACGATTTGTAAGAAACGTTAAAAATTGGCTCCTCCTCCATCACTTCCCCCACACCCCTCGGAACCTTATACGCTTCGGAGTACCGTGCCAAAACGTAGGCGATGTTGCAAAGGATTTGAAAATTAAAATATGGCTCTGTGATTTTCAATACAAAGACCACAAACAGCGCTAGAGGACAAGAGCTATTTAAAATACATCACATCCAGAAGTTGGAGGGCTACAAAGTACAAGTCGTCCAGGCCAGTCTGCAGAGACTGTCCTCGCTTCCGCCCTGCAAAAACCCGGCAAGCGACACGTCGCGACGAATTTCAGCTGCAGAAGAGGGAGAGCATCACCTGCAGTTCGACGCGTGGGAAACGCTGCGGGAGGGGGCTTGCCCAAAAGGAAAAGCAGAGGGGTGCGCGCCGCGGGGCTCCGGGGCCGTTCCGGTGCTGAGTGCGAGGAACGCCGGCGCTCGGTAGAGCCGGGGAGACGTCGCACGGTGGAGAGGGACACAAGCCTCCGGGAAAAGAGCGCTGCGGCAGCGGAGACCGCTCCGGCCCCTGGCTCGCTCGGTGCTACTGTCGGGGAGGCGGACCCCGCAGGAGAATCCCATCCTCGCGGCGGGGCGGGGGGCGAGGCGGGGCGCTGACGTCACCTCCCCTCCCCCACCTCCTCCAAGAGGGAGGGAGTGGGGAAAGAGGCAGCGATCCGCCGCAGTTCCCGGCCGCAACTCCCAAACTCAGCGGCTTGCTGCCTGGACATGTCCTGACAAACTTGGCTTCTCCTCGGCCCTCTCCGTAGCCCTCGCGCACTCTCATTTCGCCTCCTTTTGGTGTGCAACTTTCCACCCAGGACGGGAGCCTCCGGAGATGTGGCCACCTGGGTCCGGGCAGCGCCGGCGGATCGCGCTCTCGTTGGGGACATGCTGAAGATCCGAGGGAGTCAAAGTTGGTACTTCAGATACGGCTTTTTAACAAATATCTAAATTACGTGGGGATTACGGAGCTACCGAGGACTTTAAAGCCTGCATCCAAGGACTCGGCTGAACTGGTAAGTTCTTTGTTTAGTGCAAGCCTTTTGTATTTAAGTTTAAACGTAAATGAAATTACGTGGGGCTGTTTGGCTCTGAGCTAGTGCAGGGAAGCGTGTGCATCCTACAGGCTCTCTTCTTGGCGAGCTGCACACCCCTCTGGTTGTACATGCCTCGGGAATGAAAGATCAGTCTGCACAGGTTTTGGAATTCATAAAATACGTACATAGCAGTGTTCAAAAGAACTTGAAAAGCTATGCTGTTTGTGCATTATTTTGAATGTAACTTATTATAGAAATGGTGCCCAGGGAGGGCGCAACGGGGGCCGCGTGATCTGCAGTGGCGCAGCGCCCTCTAGTCCGGACACCCGGCAAGGCGCGCGATCCCTGCTGGGTTCCGCGCGGACCGAGAACTTGGACCTGCTGGGCGCTCCTGGGACGTGGGCGTGAGCTCCCAGCCTTCACTTACCACCCATTACGGCCCATTCTCTAATTTCCAAATACTGGCTTGGGTGGACTGGGTAGAAAGGCAGGGCTGGAGGAAAGCGTTTTTGTTTTCAGGAACCGTCCCCTATTCCCCTTATTTCCAAAAGCCTTTGGGGACAAGGTTAGGGAGGGCCGACTATTGAAAGGACGAACGTAGAGCTTCAACTACATTACTCTTTCTTGTGAGGGTAATTCGATGGTAGCAAAGAGCCATCTCTATTTCGTCTCGTTTAGGCTAAAGGATCAGGAAAACGTGTCGTCGCGAGTCTGGAATCTCCATCTCTGGCTCTCGGCTGTTCCTGTGGCGAAAAAGTGCAACTTCTTCAGGCAATTAGGTTTCGCAGTGAGCCTGGAAAATCGGGATTCCCAAACAGATGTTTTAGCTCTAATAGGCGTTTTTATTTATTAATGAATGGTAATTTTGTTCAGGAATTCTTTCGTGGCGTTTATAGCATCTTGTGATTTTATGTTACGGGATGGTGTCTTTTTACTTTTCAGTGTTCTTCCTTGTCCTCCAACTCTACCTCACTCCCCCAGCACACTGTTGGCGTTCTTGCGTGACTGTGATTTCTTGAGAGTTAGAATTCGGCAAGGGGCGCATACCGATAGAGCTTGGAGATCAGGTCGTCTATTTTCGAGGTGTTCCAAGTATAAAATTGACCTGTAACTCCAGGAGCACTTTGCGCATTTATGACGATGGCCAAGCGTTTGGATGATGGTGTTTGCTGGGCGTGTGAATGAATATGTGTGTATTCTAAATACTGTGCAGGGAGTACACCAGATACTCTTAGTGCTGCGAATCAGTACATTCATTCTGCAGGCGTTATTTTTCCTTCCCAGCCATAACCTGCTAGACACCTTCATTTTTTCAAACGCCTTCTTTAATACGGTTTGGGAAGAGACTGCATTAACTTTGAACCAAGGAATGTCTCTCTTTAAGCCTAGACACCCTCGCTCGCATGTGCTTCGCAGCTCTGCCTGAAGTCCCCACCACCGGTTCCGGGGAAATCGGATCTCTTTGTCCTCACAGTGTTAAACGTTCGAGTCCCACAAACTTTCCGAGATCACGTCCGCCCTCTTTTGTGGGCCGTTTTCCAATGCCCGGGACCACTCCGGGCTTCGGCTGAGTCTCAGCCGTGCGGAGCCCGGGTCTGGAGACTGCCCGGGCCGAGGATGGTCTCACAGCCCCAGGACCGGGACTGCGCGCTCGGGCGTGGGGCGGGGGGCGGGCTTCCCCGAGTGGGGCAGCTAGACGCTCGGGGGCTTCCCCTTGTCCCTAGGGAACTTGTAGTTTAACATTAGACTGGGTTCACACTTTGTGCCGCTGACTTGCCGGCTGGGAAAGCGCACGAGGCGGCAGAGCAGCCTTTTGTCCCGCAGACGTGGGAGTCGGGGGTGTCCGCCGGAAGAGGCCGGCGTTGGGGTTCGTAACCAGGGTTGGGGAGGTTATGGGATTTAACCAGCTTTGCATAAAGAGGTGGCAGAGGAAGCGCTTTCATTTTCCCTGGATCTTCGTGCACACTGAAGAAGGAAGTAGATCCGATCTAACTGCATTCCTTTTGAGACCTTTTGGAAGATTTTATTCCACCGAGCAATTGCAGACCCAGAACCGAGGCTTTCAAATGCAGATTTAAGAATTCCCTGAAGGTGCTAGGCAATCTAAAGGGAGACGGGGGAAGCTCACTTTTTTTTTTTTTTTTTTTTTAAGCTAAACTGTTTCCCCTTTCCTAGCAGGAAACATTCCATATTAATTCCCTGCACAGATCTGTGTGCTAGCCGTAACCAACATCCGCACTAGAGCAAGCCGCACACTGTTCCTCGGAGTGTCGCAAGATCACCCTGGGCACTCGCTCGTCTCCTCGGAAGGAGCTGGCGGCTCTGGCGGCAAGGGATCACTGACCCGTGGCGGGGCGTTGTTGCCCGGGACCCGCAAGCTCAGAGTCTGGCCGCCAGGGAAAGTCAGATCGAGTTTCCGCGCGGGAGAAACGAGCGCCGGCGCTCGCAGGCGTGGCTGCGGGCGGAGGGATATATTCCGCGCCCAGCGCGTGAGGCGCCGGTGCTTAGCCCGGCGGCTGCGGAGTGGGGCGCGCGGGCGGCGAGCAGTGGCCTCCGAGCGGGGCGCACGGAGAGGGAGGCAGGGCCGCCGACATCATGCGGACCCGTGGGCCCAGTGAGGCCCCCGGAGGACCTGGCCCCCGCTCGGGCGCGCGCTGAGGCGGCGAGGCGCGCGTCCCCGAGAGCGCCGCTGCCACTTGGGGCCAACTTTGCTGTAAGTTTGCTAGAAACGAAGCTGGGGCTGCGGGGCGGGTGGGCAAGGGGCGCAGCGCCGCGCCGCGTTTGCCCGTGCGCGGCCGGGCCGGAGCCGTCTGCGCTCGGTAGGCATGCAACTTGCTGCTTCTGGGGGGCGGACTTTTCGGCTCTTTGGGTGCTTTCCCCGCACCGTCCGGCCCAGGAGCGCGCTCCTGCCGGTGCTCTGGGACAAGGGATGAAAGCAAGCCCGGCTGGAAGGTTGGTAGTGCCGTGGCGCCTGCCCACTTGGAAAGTTCAGGACCCGCTCAGGATTAGGCGGCCGGCGGAGGATGCGGGGGCGGAGAGGTGGGAGGGGGACAGTTTGCAACGTGAACCGAATGGTAATTGCCGAGCCGAGTGCCACCGCGCGCGGGCTGCCGGCTGCGGCGGCGGCCGGGGCTGCACGGGTCTGGTCCTGGAGCCATTGCTGGAAATCAGAGCGGCGGCCGCGGCGCGGGGCTACCGGGCGGCCGGAGGGCGAGGCGAGGACTTCCGCTGCGCCCCGGAGCTCGGAAACTTCGCCGCCGCGCTCCGCTCCCCTTCCACGGTAATTCTCGAGCCCGCTAATGACTTAACCGATCTCGCCCTAGGTTAATTCTTCCAATTTATGAGAGTCCCAGCGTTGGGGAGATGAAAGGCGAGGCCAGTAGCCAAGGAGATGGGATCTTTGAAATGGAGTCGCAGTTTCTCTTAGATGTTTTGTGCCCCGAGGGAGCGCTGCTCTGAGGGTTAAGTACTAACTGGTTGAATGTAGGTAGACGAGGTGCGATTGATAAATTGCGGGGCTAAACATTTGCAAAATGTGCTGTTTATTAGTTTGTTTTTTTTTTCCCCTGGAGGAGAAACTTGTAAGGTTTTTTTTTTTTTTTAAAGAGGGATCCTCATTCTTCAGTGCTTTTTTTTAGAGTGCTTTCTTCTAGGAAGCTAACTTTGTGTTGTTTCTTTGAGATTTTTTTGTTCCCATTGATGTGAATTGCAGAGCTTTGAAAACAAGGACACAATTGTATGCTTTAGAAGAGTAAACTCAAATATTTTTTATGCATTTAAGTTTTTTGTGTGGGGGGGCATGTGTTTGAACTACAGTTTCATTAAGTGGCTTTTGTTAACTATGCTTGGTAAATTTTCTTTTCTTTTCTTTTCTTTTCTTTTCTTTTCTTTTCTTTTCTTTCTTTTCTTTTCTTTCCTGGATATTTACACTGACTCTTAAAATTGGGAAACATTTAAAAGGCAGATGATCTTCATTTATTTGTCTTTTAGAAAGGCAGCCTCTTGAGGCTTTGTGGGTTGCGACATATCAGGTTCAGTAGTTGATCTCTGCACGTGTTAAAACTAGGTTTTAGTGATGTTTTCCCGTGCCATTCTTGGAGATGTAGTGGTTAACCCAACATATCCAATTGATAGTTATTCATGAAAATGTGTTTTTTCTGCAGTTATATGGGTCAGTTTTGGCTTTATCTTTTGAGTTTTAAAAGGACAGCTTTGGTTCCACAGTTGGAATTGTCTCACTGTCATCATTAAACTTCAAGATGGATTTAAAAATACTTAAAACACTACATAATTTTTAAAAAACAATTGATCTAACTCTAAGTTAAGCCAAACATGGCATTTAACAGGTTCAGTGTAAGGTTTGATTTGAATAAAGTGTGCATTTGTGTACCCATTTCTTGAAAAAGAATGTCTTAAATGAGCCAAATTCTTTGTCACTCTGAAAGGAAGGTAGATTGTTAGAGGACTTAATAAAAGCATTTAGGCCACCTGTATTTTACTTGTATCTTTTAATTAGTCACTAGAAGTTACCCCCAGTGAGTTCTCATCATGTTAATAGATCATTTAATCCACGTTGTGGACAAGTGCCAAGATGGGAGTCTGAAAATTACGTGCAGACTAACAACTGTTTTGGTTTACCAGCAACCCTGCCCCTCTCATGTGTATCTTTAGACTTAGTTCATGAGCCACCTTGGAAGCAGTTATTTCTTTGAATGTTAGAGGTGAAAGGGATCTTACAGATTATTTAACCTCCCTTATCAAGTCTACCACCACCTGCTTTCCACCCAAGTTTGGCTTTAAAACGTATTCAGTCAGATGACGAATCTGTATATTTCATGTTTTAAAGTTTTTAGAAACTTAAACTTAACCTTTAGGTCCCAGATTTAAATATATTGCCAAAATTCTTAATTCCAAAGGTTTATTATATGTGTGGAGATGAACCTGTAGTCTTTTTACAAACTATTTAGGAAAACCAAGTGGTATTTAATCCTTCGTAGAATATCCAAGCATAGAGCTTCAAAGTAAGGTCTGCATCACAGAAACTGATCTGGCATCTCTTCCAGCCAATTTGGAAGCATTTTGAGGTGGGTGGTGACCCTGTTGCTCAGCTGCTAGAAATCAGAGCCATCTGCACTGTTGTTACTGGCCTGGTGGTTGCACCTGGATTTTCTGTTAATTTCAGAAGAATGGATGTGTATCTTCCCGTGTTACCCCTCCTCTCCTAGAGTCCTGCCTTCCATTCTCCACCCTCAGCCATCTGTCCATTCATGAACTCAGCGACTATGGGTCTCCTCTTTGCCAGACATTGGGCTGGACACAGGATACAGGGTGAGCAAATCGCATTGCCTTCCCTCAGGGAGCTTACAGCGCACAGTGGCAGGAGGACAAAAAATAGTTATATCCAGTGTGATAAGAGCAGGGGAGTTCATCCTAGCACTTCATTGAGCTGGGCATGGCAGGTAGGTGGATATTAGGTAGGATAGGGTGAGTTCTGAGGGAAGAGTGAATCAGGAGGGAATAATTTAAGGAGAGGAAATGACACATATAAAGCAAATTGTAGAAACCTTAGTTATGACATGATTTGCGGTATGCTGAGAGCATACCATGTTATCTTTAGGAAAAGGGTTGGTTGATTTATCATCAATGCCTGTTTAATCCTGTTTTCCCATGACTTGCAGCTTGTTTTTTTCCTTTGTGCAAGTAGAACATAGAATGTCTATGGTCTGGACGTACATTGGGTTATAGACAGGGAGGACAGGTTTTTATGGGGCAGGTGTTAAGAAGTGGTGGAAAGAAAGAAATGTAGAAAAGTGAGAAAATAACTAGTATGTGAGGAATGAAGGGCAGGAAGACCAATGT